CCCATAAACTTCCTATGCTCTTTCCATTGAATTAGCTTTGAAGGCGGATTTAAGAGGTGTTTCAGCTCTTTCTAAGGTGTGAGAGATTTCCTAAAGAGAGTGGTAACAGATCCTTGACTGGATGAAAATTACTTTGAGGAGCCTGAAAACACTTAAAGTTGAATAAACCTATCATCAAACTTTGGGATTTCTCCAAAGTGGGTTAACTATTTCTTGTCTTTTCCCGTTTTTATAGCAATGATTCACTAAAACAAGTATTTACTTTGTAACTGCTAGTGCCAGGCACCATGCTATATACACATAGGGGAAGTAAGAATAAATAAAACAAGGACAGATAGTTCTGACTGGCTTTGCTTTTTTTTTTAATTTTTTTTTTTTTTATCTTCACCTGAGGACATTTTTCCATTTTCTGTTCAGATAGAGTGGAAGGGAGAGAGAGGAAGAGAGAGAGAGAGAGAGAGAGAGAGAGAGAGAGAGAGAGAGAGAGAGAGAGAAACATCAACATGAAAGGGACACATCGAGTGGCTGCTACCTGCCCGACCCAACCAGGGCCAGTGACAAACTGCAACCGAGGTACACGCCCATAGTGGGAACCGAACCCGGGTCTCCCTGGACTGCAGGCCGACGCTCTAACCGCTGAGCCAAACCAGCCAGGGCTGGCTTTGCATTTCTGATGTAATCACACAATCATTTCTTTATTTTACAGTTATTGAGGACCTGTGAGGTGCCAGACGCTGTGAGATGTGGGGTACACAGAGATGACTAAACCTCAGTCCTGATCTCTAGCAGGACAGCGTACTGGTGAAAACTGACCAGTAAAGGGCCATTACGACAGAGTGCCTTATGTGGTGCGACAGGAAGAGCCCAGGGTGCAACAGGAGAGATTGGGAGGCCACCTAGCCCTGACTAGCTTCCCAAAGATGATGCGTGAGTCCAGTCACATAGAACACCAGTTGGGTAGGGCACGGAGCGGAGGACAGAGTGTGCGAAGGCAGAGAAGGGGAAGCACAGTGCACAAAGAGCTGTGCTCAGGGCAGTGACTACAATAGCAGAGTGCAGGGCTAGTGAGGGAAGGCTTCTGGGAAGGGGAGGGTTTTGGCAGACATTTGAAGTAGGGGCATAGGGGGACCTTCTGGGCTGGGTATGTTTTTTAGGATTCAAAGGCACCCAGTGGAAGGAACAGGTTGTGTGTAGGGTCGAGGCAGATATATATGGGACCAGAACAGAGTCATAGTATCAAAGTGGTAAGCAAAAAGAATAAAGATCTAAAAACCAGGCAGAGGAAGATGGATTCAGTGAACTGACATGGGGAACATGGGAGGTGAACAATTTGAAAAGGACCAGGAATTGGAGATACCAGGTATCTGCTTCTACCAGATTCTAGCACTACATAGGTTTCCTCTCCACAGAAGTTCTGGAAGAAAAGTCAGAAGTTTCAGACTCAGACACCAGGCAGTGGCAACTAGGACCGACACCACATGCAACCAGTGCTGCTAACACCTCTGGCCTCCTTCCCCAATGCACTTCCAGAATGTATCAGCAAGCGTTCTTTCTGCCCCTAGACAGGAGACGGGAGGACTCTTCTCTAGGACAGTGGCCCATAAATGCTATCCATTTTAATAAATCATTATTAAATATAAAAGGCAAAGTCTTTCTGGAAATGCTTCTTTATTGAGGTAGACGGCTCCTTTCCCCTATTAATTCATATACCCATAAATTAATAATTCTTATTTTAGGAATGAGACAGGATTCAGCATCATTTAATCTTATTTTTTGGTTTTATATACCTAAGCAGTGAGAAAACTTGTTCATAAAAATAGTAGATATGCCTGGAAGGAATTTTGCTATATCACTCACTTCTCCTTCTGAATTAAATACTAATAAATACATAGTGTTCTATCATTAAGCATTATTTTATTTATTTATTTAAATCCTCACTCGAGGATCTTTTTCCATTTATCTTTAGGTAGAGTGAGAGGGAGAGAAAAACATTGATGTGAGAGAGACATATCGATCGGTTGCCTCCAGCACGACCCCGACTACGGTCAGGGCCAGAACTGCAACCGAGGTACGTGCCCTTGACTGGAATGGAAACTATGGCTCTTCGGTCCGTGGGCTGACGCTCTAACCACTGAGCCAAAACAGCCAAGGCTTTTCTTTATTTTTTTTAATTTAAATTTTATTTTATTTTTTTTATCATTAAGCATTATTTTTAATGACCTATCAATCAACAACTCAGTAAGGTTCTTCTTTAATTTTGTTGCAAGGAAATAGTTGGAAAGCTGATTGAAAAAGGCTTGGTTACCCAGCTATTGGAATCACTGACTAAATGTTAACTTTTCACTTTGAGGTGATTTGTCTGATTCATTTACTCAGAAAGTATGGAAAAATAATTTTAATTTTATACACGTTTGCCTGTATTATTATATTTGATAAAAATGTTATTTTGATACTTTAATAGACCCAGCAAGAAGCCGTGCCATGCAAGAATGTGTCAGAGGTTTGGATATTTCTTACCAAAGCTCTTTGCTTTGTTCTCAGGAACTCTTCCTTAAGAGCTCTGCATTTTCTTAAATAATTGTAAGAAGTGAAGAAAAGTCCTTAAGTAAAACTAATATTCAGAATTGTCCTTTTGTTGGCATCCTGAAGACATTTACGGCTTGGGGCAATATACCATGTTCCTATTGTACTACTCTTAAGATGTTCCTTTTCTGTAGTGGGCAAAGGGTGACTGCGGAAGTAGAGGTGGGAAATAAGTATCGTTGAGCTGCATTCACAAGCATTTCAATTTTAAGGTACAGAGGGGATTTGATGAGCTGGAAAATGATTCCTGTGAAACTATCTGTGCCCATGTACCTCCTGGAGTGGGTATTTGAACTCATCCCAGTTGGAAAACCACTGTTTCACACCAGGAAAGTGGAAAATGTGACATCCAGGAAGCTGGGGACCATTACAAGGTAATGCAAGGGACAGTGTGACAGGCTCTCAGAGCAATCACTCCAGAATGGAGTTAGAGGATGGAGGACCCCAGGACAGATGTCTCCAAGAAAGAGAAGGAACCCATAAATTATCTGGTGTTACCTTACACCCTTGTTGGAGTTGGGGGGTTTCATGCTTCACCATTACTTACTGATGACCTTGGTAAAGCATAGCAGTTAGCCTGCTGAGAAAATGAACGTGGTACTGTTGGTTGAAAAAAATCCGTGTATAAGTGGGCACATGAAGTTCAAATCTGTGTTGTTTAAGGGTCAACTGTACAAAATCCTGGCCCCATCCCATATACATAGGGCTGGGGGTTGGGGATAGAGGTCAGATAAGTCCAGGAATCTGCATTTTAAACAAACACTCAGGATTTTTATGCACTTTTGAGTTTGAAAGCCATTGCTTTAAGTCCGTAATGAAGGTGCTGATTAATTGTAACTGGAAGTCATACTCCTTCCCTACTCTCTGGAGCAGCCACGGTATCAGGCACACTGTGGAATATTTGAGGCTCAGGGTTTTCCTGGGGCTAGATTTCCTGGAACCCTTCCTCTCCTTCCACAGTGACTTAAGTCAGCCTTGGGACTATGGAGAAATCAATTTTTAAAAAATTTCCTTTTCCTTTCTCCAAAACAATATCCTCCTTTGAATTTTAACAGATATTAAACCAATGCAAACATCCTGTTAGACCTTTACTCTTCTTCAAATAGATGCTACCTATGCTTTAAAATTTTTTCAATTAAATCAACATTTATTAAACACCCATACAAGGCCCTACCTAGGTTGGGTGCTACAGCCAACACTATTGAAACAAACACTCAAAGTCTCAGATTATGGCAGTGATTAGGAGCTCTTCATTCCAGTCCAATGGGCCAGCACACGCAGTCCATTTTCAGACTGCTCAGAGAAAGAACAGCACCAAGGCACTTGGATTGTATCATGGGGATTTCCACTGCAGGGTGTTCTGAGAACCCAAGATAAAGCTGATACGGACCAAATCCTTTGGAAGCAGCTCTTCGTAGAGTACTAAGGTGAAGAGACCAACACAAATCCTTTCCAACTAAGGGTCCTGCCACCTGAGGCCATATGCCTGCATATCTGGTTGCCTCTGCAATGAGTAAGGACATTGGCTAGATATCTAAATCACAACGGGGAGAAAAAGAAACCTTTTTCTATTGCTAGCAACTTGTTCCATCAGAAAGTAAGAAAATTAAAGATTTATTTAACACTTTTTATGAAGTATTTTGGTATTTACACTTGTTTATTATTTAAAAGCAATTTTTATGAGCAGCTCTCAACAAAAATTATGCTTCAAAACATTCTTTTTGAAGGACTTTGGCTAATAACATTCATTTTGGCAAACAACCTTATTTAGTTGCTACTAACACGTGCAACAAACTTAGGCTATTAAAATTATTATTTTTCTTAGAAAACTATAATTCATAGAGTTAAGCCTGACAGCAAGAAGAAATGGAGTTGAGGAGTAACATCATTTTTCAAGATTGACCGTAAAGCCATCAGTGATTGGTTACTTCTATTTTTTAATAAGAAAAAACTTAAAGAAATTGGGGTAGATTGTTTTTTAATTAAGGGAAAGAAAGAAGGAGAAAGGAGGGTAAGGAAAGAGTTATCTGGCAAAAGAGGAACACAGAGCTCTGGTTGGTTTAGGTCTTTTTGCATGCATTTGGTTTCTGCTTTCTAACTGGACAGTCTCTGTCACAACATATTTGTGCAAAATTCCACACACAGATCCTGATTTGCATTGCTCTCCTTTATGACAGAAAAGAAATTGGGACTAAGTCTTGTGGGGAAGGATGTGAAGAAAGACTGGAGAATATTCTAGCTGATGTAAAGTGCTTAACCATCCTTTTCCAAATTCTGAAGACTGCCTTTCTAAAAGCACTCTCTAACATTCTTATGTTAACATTGTCTTTCAGCATACTTTGATTTCCAAAGCACTTCTGAAATGTAATTAAAATGGAGTAGAAAGTGAATTTATTGTTTCCCCACCTACTTTTAAAATGAGAAACTGACATTATGTATTTATTATTATTATATTTTAATATGGAGCAAAATCAGGAGTGCAGAGATCCACAACAGAGCCAGGGAGAGAATACCGGTGAAAAGGTGTTGTTGAATAAGGCAGCAAATTGTAGTTTTTGGAAATCAAGTTTATATATTCAAGAATAACCAGCGTAAAGAGAATTAAACAAGCAAAAATGATTGTCTGTTAAAAATAGTAACAAACAATTATGCATATACAACCGCACCCACTCCCCAAGTTCTGGCTTATTAAATCTAAGAATTCTAGTCCATAATTAATGTAAATGTGTTGCTGTGGAACTTATTTTTACTTCTCTCCATGAATACATTGTTGACACAAAGAATAATATTGTTAGTTTACAGACTACAGTGAAGAGTCATTTCAGGAGTTAATTTTTCCTTCAAAAAAATAAAATCTGAAGAGGCTGTAAATCTTTCTTACTGTCTGTGTGCAGGTCTTAGATTTCACCCTACCCATTTCCAAACAGAAAACCATAAGAGTGCAGACAGCTAAACCTAAAGAGTGAAGGATTTAGTGAGCTGTCAATTTCTTGCAGAATTCTTCCTTTCTGGTACTGCTGTTCTCCATGTATTATTAATCTATTTATATTTAACTCCAGCCATTAGTCCTCCTCTTCCAGCCACTGAACCATTTGCAAAGGAGAGAAGAGGGAACAGGGTTGCTATTATTAGGCATCCTGTGTGTGATGAGGGTGGAGACAATTAAATAACACCATTTTGCTTCTTTGAAAATGACACAGATTGTTGTTTGGGGTGGACAACTCAGTGCTGGTTAACATAACCTTTCCCCTCAAGAAAGTAAAACAATAGAGATACATTTTTAAAGCACTTAATTAAGCTCTCAGCAAGGCATGTGGGAAAATTACAGACCCATAAAACCCTCCAGTTCTAGGCAGGAGTAAATTTTCTCTGCAGCACTCTGTCACTGCTCATTTACTGCATCATTTTGACAACATCTCATATTTCCACAAGGCTTTTACATAATCTATAAACAGGGACAGAAAGGTGAGGCACAGAGAGAATGGGGACAAAGTTTGGACCTCCCACACTGTCACTTCCTTTTAGTTTTCCATTAAAGGATGGGGGTGAAGGGTGGCATTTTAAGATGATTTCATTAAAAGGCTCAGACATTAATAATTGACACAGCAAGAAGAATGCTGTGAAAAAGTGCCACTGCTTGCTCACTCTTCCAAAGGATGAGTGCGATTCAGTCATAATGAAGGCTCTTTAATGTTCCTCCCCCAAACCTCTTTCGATCAGGAAAGCCTGGAATCTGTAGGCAAGAAAGATAATCACATTAAATCTCAAGTAGGCAGAGTTCAAGTGCTAATAGCCTTTAAATATTTTTCTTTAAAATGTCAGTCTGTTGTTCCTGAAAGAACCACCGTTCTGTGGTTTTACTCAGAAAACCACAGCAGACTAAATAATAAAAATAAATGCTACCAAAATGGATAACATTTGCCAACAAATTGATGACAGTGTCATCTAAATCAGAGAGGATGAAGGTGAATTTCATAATATTCAGCTATTGCCTTATATGAATTATTTGCTTGTGATAGACTTTGGATGTATACTTTTGGTATCTCAAGCAAATGATTTTCTTCTATTATTTTATAGTGTAACTTATCCCTGTTTTTGTTTTGTTTTGTTTTGTTTTTATCTCTGGGATCCTTATTTTCCCTTAATTTGACTTTCTTTTGGATTTAACAGAAGAAAATCAGTTGCTTGTGCCTACAAAGGGACTTCTCCCACTTTTTTAAACCACCTCTGAAAATAAATTTGGAATTCACCTCTCTACAAATTTAAGAACTGATTTTATAAAGAAAAGATAGATACTGACCTGATTACCATCTCTTGAAAAGTATCTCTTCTCTATGACCTGCAGGAAACAAAGATGTTAAGGGTTTAGCATCCATACCTGGAAAAAGTAGCTAACTGTAATGGCCACTCATGGGACTAAAAGGCACATATACGAATTAATAGTCTTTTCAATAGATACAGATATCTGGTACAATGAGTTGAATCTGGTGCTAATGGGATCAGGATTGTGGGAGTATTTCCTAAGAGTCTGCCTCGTTCCAGAAAGTACTAATAGATTAAAAAATAAGTGAAAAATAAAAATGACTAAGTAATCAAAGAATGACAGATGATACAGTAGGAATTTTGGCTCTCAGATTCCTAACAGTCAGCCTTGAAAGGTACCAAAAAAATTCATAAGAAAAAAGCAAACCACTTGCTTACTAATAGTACAGCTATTCCTTAAAGAGGAGTCTGTGTAATGTAATGAACCACCACATCCCTCCAGTAAACACAGTGATAAATTTTGGAGGGCCTCAAGAGAGACAGATGATATAATATCAAAGGTGTCAATTAGTTTCTTTTTATGGACCTAATCTGCATTCTTAATACTGCAGTTTCAGAACTGTCTGTATTTGGTCAGTAGGAGAAACACAGTAAAGCAGCAGATGTATCTGCACAAATCCATCAGGACTATTGTAAAGAAGCCCTCAAACAACATGCCCTAAATGGTGAGTTTAAGGAGCACCACATTTTCAGATGATTACAAAAACATTCAAGCCCTGGCCAGTTTGGCTCAGTGATTAGAGTGTCGGCCTGCAGTCCAGAGAGACCCGGGTTCGATTCCCGCTAAGGGCATGTACCTCGGTTGCAGTTTGTCCCCGGCCCTGGCTGGGTCGTGTGGGTGGCAACCACTCGATGTGTCCCTTTCACATCGATTTCTCTCTCTCTCTCTCTCTCTCCCTCCTGCTCTATCTGAACAAAAAATGTCCTCAGGTGAGAATAAAAAAAAAAAAGTTAAAAAAATAAGAAAGTCTGTTCTAACACTTGAGAAACTGCAATAATTGCAGAGGCAGAATTGTTTTCTTTTCTTTTTAAATTCCTCATCTGAGGATACTTTTTCTATTTATCATCAGATAGAGTAGGAGAGAAAGAGAAACACTGATGTGATAGAGACACATCAACTGGTTGCCTCCCACACGACCCCGACCAGGGCCAGGGACTGAACCACAACTGAGGTATGTGCCCTTGGCTGGAATCAAACCTGTGACTCACTGTTCCTTAGGCTGACACTCTAACCACTGAGCCAAACCAGCCAGGGCCAGAATTGTTTTCTTTACCAGAGCTGTTGTGATTAAGAAAAGTTAATCAAATAAGAATACAGATTAGCTGTAGATTACCTCTAAGACACTAGAATCTAGAATTATGAAAATAAAACTGCCTCTGAATATGCTCTGAGCATCTTCCAGGCCTGTGTTGGCTTACTCTCACTGGTCTGACAGCCAAATAACTTTCTATCTTAGAGAGTATGGTTGGGTCACTGTTAGCTACAAGAGACCTGGGGTAAGGTTTCAGTCACTGGTCCCAGAGGTAGAAAAGCTGGTTCATGATCAATATACATCTCAAAATACTTGGTTTTACAGAAAGCAAGAAGAGACTGGTTCTCTCTCCTCTCTTCGGTGCAGGAGAGGAAAATCCTATAATTCTAGTGTGGGGAAGAACTGCTACTAGCCAAGGGAGTATGGAGTAAAAGTCAGATTCCCTTTTGGAAAAGAAATCTTTACATTAAACTCTTGAAAGCCCAGCCCGGTGTGGCTCAGTTGGAGCACTGTCCTTTGCACCAAAGGGTCACAGGTTCAATTCCTGGTCAGAGCACATTCCAGGTTCAATCCTGGTAGAGGCGCATACGGGAAGCAACAAATCGATGTTTCTCTCTTACACTGATGTTTCTCCCTGTCACTCCCTCACTCTCTAAAAAGTATCAGAAATCTGATGTATAGAAAACTGTGTGAAATTTAGCTGCCACATCCCTTGGTTTCAGGTGACCGCCCTAGTCTGGAGGTCTGGGCAACCCCCTGACCCATGGACTTTTGGTGGTGGTTTGAGCAATGAAGAGAGAAGTTACCTTTTTGCTCATAATTTCCTACCCTCAACTTACAATGTCCTCTTACTAAATTTTTCTCTCTTCTTCAAACCAATCAAGTTCCCTCTGATTTTTTTAGAATAAGGCCTTGACAGATGACTTGGGGTACACTCTTCTATAACCCATTGTTTCTATAGGATATAACTTATTACATTTAACATTTCAAGTTCAAAATTATTAAAAAAGTATATTGTGAAATCTTTCTATCAGACACAGATCTATAAGATGTTGCTCTTAGAGGATAGCTTTTTGTATCAGATGGGATCAGGGATCTGAAGTTCTTACCTTTTAAGTTTGAAAACAATGTAGACAGAAAATGTGGTTCCATGCAGTGCACCTCATTTAGAAAATGCTAATATTTGTACAGCACAATGAAGTAAATGGAAGAGGCTGCCAATCACCCAGCCTGAGGGGCTCTGGCTGCTCTGAGAACTGAGGGGAAATCAATATCTCAGCACAGCTGTACCCTATTTGCAACACACCAGTTGGGAAGTTCTGCAGTGAAGCAAAAATTTCACAGTGATCTCATATTAAATAGGGAGGGGTGTGGGGCTTTATCTTCTGCTGACATACTGGATAAAGGGCCAAATACTAGCTCCCTAAATTGCTCAAAGAAAAATGATTCATAAAGAAGTCCCACGAGAGAAATGTTTCTTAGGCGATTACATTTAAAAGGAAATATAATACGGAAATTAATCTTTTTCAGTAACACATACAGAAACACGTCCTATTTTACTTTACTACACAATGTCAGCACTGGGCAAGCAACTTAAACTTGGTCAGTACTATGTGCAATGCAGCTGTATGGCCTTGTGAAGGACAGACAAACAGTGCTCTAATTTACTAGCATGCTGAGTCATTCCACATTTTCATTCTACAATAAGATGATGCTAGCAAGAGTCAATAACTGGAATGCAAAGGTTTCTGATAGGGAAAAAACAGGGAATCAAGAAGATGACACTACATTAAAAGTAATAGTGAAATCTATTAATAGCTGGGAGAGTAAAACGAACTCAGGGCTTGCAACTAAGCAGAATCTCCTCATCTCGTAGTCTTTTGTAGGGCTTAGGGGTGAATAAAAGGAGATAGAAAATAGGAAAACATAAATTGTTTTAAGAAAGGGAATTAGGTATCATTTTAAAAAACCCATTTAAATCCAGTAGCTTTCATCCTGTGCTTAGAGAACACTGGTGATAGAATAAATACGTCAGCAGGCCTTGAGCAATTATACCAACTGATAAGAGAGATCAAAACAAGTATTCTTCAGCCTGTGACGTTCAGGATGAAGGCATAAAAGGACAAAGCATTCTACAAAAAAATTTAAACTCTCATAATATATAAATTAAGTTTAAAAATAACTTAATTGAGGCCATTACCTTATCAAAAAACCTACTAAGCTTGACAGCATTGGAAGAACCAGCAGCTAAGTACCGTGGATTTGTGCAATCCTAGAAGATAAAACATAAGACCTACAATTAAAAGTTAGGGAACATAAGCTCTTAGTTATCACTGTTCCTGTTGCACATTTTTATAAAATATTAGGCATAATACTCTCATAAAATATTAATGTAATTTTCAAATTATGATGCACAAAGCAGAGAGGAACATGCTAAAGGAAGATAAGGCCGCTTTTTGTATTTAAGCAATTTTAGAGGACACTGAACCAATGTGTTCATCGTCAAATAATTCACAAAGGGAGACAGGATTGCTAATATCTAACTAATAAAACCAAGATACTAATCAGGTGACCTACCTACACTTACCCTGAAAAGCAAAAATAAAGCCATTAAAAAGTCAATACTTCACTTTTTAGCACTAGTTACTCACCAGTGCTCAACTAAGTTCTATGCTGTTCATGCAAATAGTAGGAAGCATGAAAATAAGGAGTTAAGAGGAGCAAAGAACAAGCAGAACACTTGCCAGGGATTCCTCACTCACTGAATACAAGGTAATACATCTCTTGGTAAGCCGTAAGCATAATAATAAACAATATATTTTTTATAATAAACAATGAATTATTATTAAATATTATTAGGCATTACCATTAAACAATAGTTAAATAAACAATAATGAACAATAGATATATTACTATTAAACAGTATTTTTAAAAATTGGAAAAAAATGGGGCCCAGAAGAGACAAAACAATCTGGAAGGTTAAATCATGATAAAGACTGGTAAAGACCTTAAAAGGCTTACTATCCTTTTATTGAAATTCCAGTGTTGCATTGCCTTTACTTGTTATTACTGACTTGCCACCTCAAGAAACAGAATACTTTGATTTTTACCTCAAGTGGTACATAAGACCAAACTATGAGGATATCATGTAGGCCCCTTTGCAAGAAAGATATTTGTCTTTCAGGTTGCGTCCCTTGGGAAATTCTGATATTGTTGTTGCATTTGTTTTGTAATCTCTAAGCCTACATGATTCCTTTCCAATAAAGTTTGTAACAGTCATTTCTTTTTCCATATACAACATTTCAAGGCTCACATTTTTAATTTTGGCCAGAATCTAGAATACATTTGCAAAACCATAAACAAAGAGAGACTACAACAAACTTCAAAGATCATAAAATACTAGAAGCCAGCAAGCTCTGAATCCAAATATCCGTCACAACATTTCTAGAATGTGTGACACTGGTTAGGTTTCTAAATCTTTAAAGTGGAGTTCATTCATGAAATGGGGATAGCAATACTTATCCCACAGGATTTTTGTGAAAATTAAATGAGATAATGCATGTCTGGCACATAGCAGGTACTGAAATATTAGTTTTCTCTCTCTCTCTTCATCCTAAGAAAATGCTATCAGACTAAATTTTCAGACACAAAGCACCTAATATTAAAGATTACTTCACATATGGATTAAATAGACTGAAATATCATTGTGCAAATGACTATATTTGAAACAATCCTTGAACACATTTATACAGCAGTTGGGGCGTATGAGAGACAAACTTTAGATGGACCTGTGTTAGATGTTTTACAAAATGGATGCTGATTATATACTCATCAGAATGTCAAAAAGGTTCAGAGATGATCCCAAATAGAGCTAAAGTACTAAATACAAAAACTAAACCAAGCAGCAAACAAATAAACAAAACCTCCCCAAAACTTAATTCTAAAGCTGCACAATTTCATCTTGACTAGAATAGAGAAATTCTATGATATTTAGGATAAGAATTTTAAGGCTGAGCCATCTGTTATTGATCATGGCTGAGGGAAAAGCCTGAAAATTAATAGCTCTAAATAGCTTCTCTAAGCTTGAGAAAGGAATAATAACTAGGGAAGATGCTTATGACTACTTTGAAGTAAATGCATTAACAGAAAAATTTGTATTAGACACAATAAACCTAACGGGATTAAGGAAAAAACACAAGTGATCCTCTCCCTATCTATAATTTAAACATTTTGCCTTTTTTCAGGCACAAGATGGATAACTCTGATTCCTTCTTTGATGAGTATATACAATAACCAAAGATGCTAGCACTAATATTGTTACACTAGTTTATTATTTGAGGCTTTATACTTAATTGCTGAGTCTCTTTGACTATCTCTTTTTGAAACTCTTATCCAATTTTCCTCCTCATTTTTAGTTCCCTGCACACTCAAGACCCCCTTACTGTTCCTGCTGTGTTCTTGAAGTTATACATGGATAAAAGGTCAAAAGTATGTTGTATGTGAACTCTGTGCAGACCACATGTGCCAAAGTATCACCACCTGAGCACATCATGTTAACAATTGGTCCTGACTTTGCAAGTAAAGTAGAAAAATCGTATACCTAGCCACTAGAAACAGATAGATGCCAGAACACATTGAAAGTAATTAATGGCGCAAAACTGAGTACAAATGTTGCTTTGGAAATAATGTTCAAATGAAGTAACCTCAGCACTTCTTCAACAAGGATATTATGTATTCTAAGTAACAGGAATCCTCTGGAACATCATGGTCCAGTGCTGACTACTTGGGTCATTTATACTGAATATTCCATGGTGGCAGCTGAGAGACATAAGGCACCTCCACTGCAAAGTACAATGTAACAAACAACGGAAGGGCAGACAGAGGAGTTGACTCAATTATGGGGGTAGGGTGAGGTTGAACCAAGTAGTGTTCACAAATGTTGATTCACATAGTAAGGGCATCAGAATCATCTGAGTCATTTGTTAAAATCAGAGTCCTGGTCTTCCTGCCAGACTTTATGAATAAAAAGTTCCTGCTATGGGCAATTATTTAAAAATTTTCATAGGTACTGTTTATTGATAACATGAATATGCAGGCAGGTTTGGGTAATTCTTAATTTAGGTGATTTCTAAGAGTTCTTTCAGCTCCAAGATTCGAAATGTTAGTTGTAGGATAATTAAGTTGAAAATAGGATGAATTGTATAGAACAGGCTCTGGAGTCAGAGTAACTGCTTTGATCTGTGTAACCTTGGCCTAGTTACCTCTCTCTGCTACAAGTCTTCATCTTTAAAATGGAAATAATAATAATGCTTGTTGTTGTTGTTGTTGTTAGGATGACATGAAGACGATGCATGAGAGATAACGTTCCTAAATAACCAGAACAGTGCTCAGCACATAAATGCTCAATAAATGGTAGCAACTGGTATTATTCAACCACCACTACCACCACCACCACACGTCTGAATGTTAGTGCACTGTATATGCTGCACAAATCCTACTTGTGAGCAATGACATATCCTTCTCTGGGCAACACTAACTGGTTTACATGAGGAATTTTCTTAGCCTTTTTAGCACCAAGTTCTAATTGAGCCAAATATCTCAGGAAGGGATTCAATTCTCTGTATACACATTAAGATTATATAAACCAATGCTTATAAAGTACTCCTAGTTTATAGTTTATAATGTTTTCACTTGTCCAGATGTTTTTCCTTTAAGGTAAATTCTGTAATTTAAGAAGCTAGGAGGCTTTTCTAAAGCAAGAATAATCAAGGTACAGTATCAGTAACTATTTTTTTTTTTATTACTCCTCACCCAAGGATATTTTTCCATTGATTTTTTAGATAGAGTGGAAGGGAGGGGGAGAGAGAGAGAAAGAAACATCGATGTGAGAGAGACACATCGACTGGTTGCCCTGGAATTGAACCTGAGACCTTTGGACAGCGAGCCGGTGCTCTAAAGCTGAGCCAAACTAGCCAGGGTTCAGTAACCTTTCTTTGTCACCTTAATTTACTTATTTTGATTTTGGTGTGATTTTTAAAAGTATTTTTAAGAAAAAACCCATGATTTTTACATTATTCATAGAACAAAGTTCAAACATTGCAACAGATCAGCATACAAGGAAACTGAGGTGACTGTGCCCATTTGACAGTCTATGTTGATTCCAATTTTTACCATATTTTGGAGTAGAAACAAAATAGCCTGATTTCAAGAATAAAGATTCTTTTGTGAGAATATATGACTAGTGAAGTCTTAGGTTTTGCTTTCAAGTGACAATGACGCAAAAATGCATTAGTGAAAATACATACCAAGTTAATCTCTTCTGCATTGAAATCCTCAGCCAGGAAAGCAGTCCTAGTTAAAACTTCATGGCGCTTCGTTTCATGAATCTGGTCCAGTTTAGTCCCTATTACCAACAGTGGTATTTGGTTATCAGCAAACTGTTCCTGGTCATAATCCCTGTGATAAATAATAAAAAGGTGAATAGAATTTACCTTTTTGATGTAGATGTGTAATATTTAAATACAACTAGCTTATACCATTTTACTGATAATTCACTGACTCTTGCTCACCCATCACCTACAAACCTAATTTCTTCCATCTACTTATTTATTTAACAACTCATCCCCACCATCTACAGACTTCCAACTATTCATCTAACTACTCAAAAGTTGTCCCCATGAGTCTTTACAGACTACCTGAATAATTGAGTGCCCATCAAGTATATCAAGGTAGGTTGACGTGACTTCTCCCAAAGCTCTGTGTTCTAAAGCACAGAAATTTTTCTGTATAGATATAGAGAATGGATTTAAACCTCAGTGAGGCCTGGCCAGTTTGGCTCACTGGTTGAGAGTTGACCCATGCACCAAGAGGTTGGCAGTTCGATTCCTGGTCAGGGCACATACTGGGTTGTGAGCCCAATACCCTGTAGGGGGCACGCAGGAGGCGGCCAATCGATGTTCTCTCTCACCAATGTTTCTATCTCTCTCTCCTTCACCCCTCCTCTTTCTCTAAAATCAATAAAGAAAAAATATTTAAAAACAAACAAACAAACAACCTCAGTGGGGAGAAAACCCTGGAACCTAGCACAACACTCAAGCCTTGTGTCAGAGGGAAAAATGACAAGTTTCTGGGTACCTTCAGGGCTATGCACAAGTTCTATACTGCCATACACATTTCTGTCTCTGAATAATAAAGAAAAATATATTGTTTAAGAAAAATAGGAAATAGGGATGCTGAAGGCCAGAGTAAATCTACCATAGGTGATGCGACAGCCTAGGGAAAGATGGATTTAACACAGGGAAATGGAAAGAAACAGCTGAACCACAAAATGAATAGTAAAAGGAAAGAATTAAGTACCAAGTAGTTGTTTGTCCTGATACCAGAGCTGTGGAAGATAGGACAGGCAATACGAATCCCTTAGGGTCACTGGCCATTACAGTTTTTTTTTTCCTATTTCTACCTAAAGGATAGAGAGGTATTCCTTCTATTACTAAAAGAAATGTGGAGCCCAAAGTTGTAGAATTACTTTCAATTCTATTCACATATAAGAAATAAAAGAGTTGGATTTCTGACATGTTATAAACTCAATTTACAACAGTCAGCAAAATCTGGTTTCGAACACCTTATGACAGTAAATCAATATTGCATAATCCAATCAATACAGCCCAGTTGAGCATAGCTGTTTTTCTTCCTTCGACATTACTTTCTTTTCTCTTTGAATAATTCTAAATTGGGGTGGTGTGAGCAAAATGATCAAATCTTTTTCCCCTTCACAATAATCTTGCAGAGCCTCAGTTACTGTTCAGCCTTGGAACATAAGTGTTTTGAATTATGTAACCTCCCATTTCATAAAAATATTATCATTCTATTTATTGCATCAAAGCCAATAATAGCTTGAGTTCAAGGACTTTGATTCTTTTTACCAACCTCAACCCTGATTTAGGAGAAACTGTCCCAAACTGAAATCTGCTTCATTAGAGAATAAAGCATTGAGAGTGTCCTTTAGGACTATTTTCTTTCCCTATACTAACTCTGGCTCACATACAAATTTTTATATACAGTTTATCAAACATCATCTTTGAAATGCATATATCTCTATCATTTGTAGTCTTGCATAATCTCTTGCACATCAACACATACATATTACACGTGTAATATAACATATACTGCACATGATATACATTAACACATATCTTATATATGTAGCATAATACATGTTGCAATATACATATAATTTGTTCTCATATCTCTATTAACTTTCCTTTTTCTCTCTTTTATTAAATCTTACATCCAATTGGACTTTGGCAAAAATAAAAAACAAAATTGCACCTTACAGACCACTACACTAACTACCATTTTAGAGAAGTTTTAGGATTTCAGAGAAACAAATTTAACAGACACTATAGGCATACAATCAGCAAAATCCACAATATAGGAAACTTTCTAGAGGACAAACAAAGCATCTTTTTTCACAAATAAACTGCTGATGGGTAAAAAATAAATAATAAAAAAAGGGGAATTTAAGATGAAAAGAAACCAAATACAATGAGTGGACCTTATTTAGATACAGATTTGAATAAACCACCATTTATGAGACATTAGGGGAAATGAAAATATTTGATATTAAAGAATTATTGTTAATTTTCAGTATGACAATTACATTTTGGTTATGTTCAAAAGTTCTTAATCTTTAAAATTACACATTGAAGCACTGTAATATATAGATAAAGTGATATGTGTAGGATTTGCTTCAAAACATCAAAGATGCCCTGGCCAGTTTGGCTCCACATTTAGAGTGTGGCCCATGGACCAAAGACTCGTGGGTTCGATTTGGGTCAAGGGCACATACCTCAGCTGTAGTTTGGTCCCTGGCCCTGGTTGGGGTTGTGCGGGAGGCAACCAATCAATGTGTTTCTCTCACATTGATATCTCTGTCTGTCTGTCTCTCTCTCCCTCCCACTCTGTCTGAAAATGGATGAAAAAATATCTTCAGGTGAAGATTAAAAAAAAACAAAACCGCCCTGGCCGGTTTGGCTCAGCGGTTAGAGCATCGGCCTGCGGTCCGGAGAGACGCGGGTTCGGTTCCCGCTAAGGGCACGTACCTCGGTTGCAGTTTGTCCCCGGCCCTGGTTGGTTGTGCGGGTGGCAGCCACTCAATGTGTCCCTTTCACATCGATGTTTCTCTCTCTCTCTGTTCCTCTCTCTCCCTCCCACTCTACCTGAACAAAGAATGGAAAGATGTCCTCGGGTGAGGATGATAAAAAAAACAAAAAATAAAACAAAACAAACAAACAAACAAAAAACCATCAATGAAGCAAAACATCTGTGTTCATGGGTTGCATGAAACAACAAAACTTCTCCCTGATTTGGTCTATAGGGTTACTGCAATTCTCATCAAAATCCAAGCATAATTTTCATCAATATAAACAAGCTGATTTCAATTTTATATTTAGAGGCAAACTAGACTAGCTAAACATTTTTTAATAATTTTTTTTAATCCTCACTCGAGGATATTTTTTTCCATTGATCTTTACAGAGAGTGGAAGGGAGGAAGGGAGGGGGAAAGAGGGGGTGGAAAGAGAGAGAGAGAAACATCGATGTGACAGAGACACACATGGACCAGTTGCCTCCCACATGCAACCCAACAGGGGCCAGGGATTGAACCTGCAACCCAGGCATTTGCCCTTGACCAGGAATCAAACTCCAAAATTTTGGTGCACAGGCTGACGCTCTAACTGCTGAGCTACACACTGGCCAGGGCTAGCTAAACAATTCTGAAAAGAAATAAAGTGGAAGGAATCACACTACCTAATTCTGAGACTTACTATAATGCTACAATAATCAAGACTGTAGTATTGGTGAAGGGATAGGCACACAGATCAATGGAACAAAATTAGGGAGTCTAGAAATAGATTCATATAAATAAGGTCAACTGATTTTTGGCAAAAAAGTAAAAGACATTCAGTGGCAAAAGGATAATCTTGTCAATTAATGGTGTTAGAACAACTTGACATTCATATGCAAAAGTCACCCTCAATTAAAACCTCCTATTATAAGTAACTCAAAAAGGAACACAGATCTAAAAGTAAACCTAAAACGATAAAACTTCTAGAAGAAACATAGGAGAAAACCTACATGTTCTGGGATGAGGCAAAGAGTTTTTAGACACAATACCAAAAATTACAATACATAAAAGAAAAAATTGAGAAATTAGACTTTTTTGTTTTACTTATTTATTTATAGTTTTTATTGATTTTTTTTTTTTTTTTATCCTCACCTGAGAACATTTTTCCATTTTCTTTCTTTGTTCGGATAGAGCGGGGGGGGGGGGGGGAAACATCGATGTGAAGGGACACATCGAGTGGCTGCCACCCGCACGACCAACCAGGGCCGGGGACAAACTGCAACCGAGGTATGTGCCCTTAGCGGGAATCGAACCCGGGTCTCTCAGGACCGCAGGCCGACGCTCTAACCGCTGAGCCAAACCGGCCAGGGCTTTTATTGATTTTTTTAGAGAGAGAGAGAGGGACAGAGTGATAGAAACATCAATGTCCGAGAGAAACATCTATCGGCTGCCTCCTGCACGCCTCCTACTGGGGATCGAGTCTGCAACCGGGGCATGTGCCGACTGGGAATCTCTCAGTCCATGGGACAACACTCAATCTACTGAGCCACACCTGTTGGGCTAGAAATTAGACTTAAAAAAAAAAAAAAAAAAGCAAAACGATTGCTTTTGTAAAAGATACTGTTAGGAGAATGAAAGGCAATGTAGACTGGGAGAAAATATTTGCACATCAAACATCTTATAAATTGTTATTTTGGAGGGTGGATTCTTGTGATTGCTTATAACATTTCAAACCAATTGTGAAGTAACCTGGGCTTACCCATTTGTTACCAAGACTCCAGTTGGCACCAAATCCCTGTTGAGAGCTTCTGATGACCAACGATGCAAGTTTTGGGAAGACTTCTTATTTGTTAAGTCGTGTACTAAAATAATACCTAAAATAATCAGAGAAAATAATGTCAATACAGTAACAATTGTCCTTCATTTCAGAACTGGTAAAGTGAAGCTTAGTAAATAACAAGCCTTAAGTTGCTTGGTGAACCTAGGATTTTTGTATGACTAACAAACTTATAAATAGTTAACTACCAAATTTTCTTTGTCAGTCTAACTTTTAAAAATCCTATAATGGCTGACAAAAACGTCATTGAACTTTTAGAATGTCTTTTCTTTGTTTTTCTTCATTCAGCAACTTACTACTGTATGCCTACTCTGCCTGGTCCTAATTGCAGAACCACCTCATCAATAAAAAGAATCAAACTACTTCAAATTCATACACACACACACACACACACACACACACATATGAAAGTATATGCATTCAAAAAGCTAATTGTTTTTGCACTCTGCACACTATTGTCACAGACATCATACATACACATACTAAGTATTCAATAAAAATATTAAATAATAAAATACATTAAAACAGTATTGATTTAATTTGATACAATTGTTATTCTTTACTTGAAAACTGTTTTCCTGTAGATTACCTGGGCCTGCCTAATCAACTCAAAAGTTTGATTTTTTAGTTCTTTGAGAGATTTAGTTAAAAGAGCAAAATAAATATGCCAGTAGAAGGGGATAGAAAGACATAGTCCAGAGATAAATAGCAGAAAACAGATAGACTTTTGAGAGACAGAAAAATAACAACATGTAATAAGAAATACAATTAAACAGACTCAATGAAGATCATGGACAGAAAGGCAAGCAAGTAATTATTACAATAAGCTATAGATAGAAAAGGAAAAGCTTTAATGTCTAGTGGAATTTAGGATATCTGGAGGTCACAAGACAATAGGTTTTCAAACTCCCAACCCTTTGGTATTACCCAGATTCCACTGTGAAGAGAGGACGTAAAACAGACGATTCCTCCATCTTCAAGATGTCAATTTGAAAAAGAAGGGCAGAAGAGTTAGAATTATTTGGCTTCTCTAGTTTTCACAGACATTTGTGCAATAAAGATGGTTGTGCATGTCACACCTGACTTGTTCAAGCTGGCTCAGATAAATCCATTCTCTCTCTTGGTATCTGGAATAGAGATCTGACAGTTGTCCCCATATCCAACTGCACTCAATGAGGTGTTCTAAAGACACCAAGGACATATTGGAGGTATTTTTAAAAAGGAATAAAGAGCTACCATTAAAGAATATAGATAATATGTATTCATCACTTACACGCTACATATTGTGCTTTACATGTGTTATATCATTTGATTTTCAGAATAGTCCTATGAGGTAAGAATTACCTCTATTTTACATATGTGGAAACTGAGGCTTAGAGAGGTTAAATAACTTGCCTTAGGTCACATGGTAAGTAGTGTAGCCAGAATTTGAACTCAGCTAATTTGACAGTAAAAGATTGAGGAAAAGCAGAATAAAGTCTCACTTTAGGGCACAGGAGTGACAGTTATTTTCTCTTCTTCCTACTTCCCATGTATAAATATCATAAAACTGTGGGTGAGACTTTTGGTTGGGAAAGTGAAAGGATTACAAAGGCCTAGATAAGCTATTAGATGGACTGGGAGGAGTTCATTTTTTGAAGATCTCTATTTAAGACTCTGGAACTTTTAAAGGCATTTGAGATCCTTTTTCTTTATTCTCCCTCTTTCATTTGAGTTGAGAGTTCTTGTTTGTATGAGCTAGAAGGGTTAGACTGGGGCCCAGAGGTAAAAAAAATCAGGGTGACAGCTGATCAGAATATGTTCTAATCTGAAAAGAGAGAGAGGTAGAGACACACTTTAGAGGTTTCCTTTGGGGATTTATTACCAGCCTAGTTCATTGCAGTGGGAAGAAGGTAGGGTATTGAGAGAAGAATGTTAATGCTAAGAATAAAGATTGTGCGTTTGAATGGAGTGAATCTTATGTTCTGTTTCTTAGAACACTAAGGAGGGTAGATGGAGTAAAGAACCTTGAGTGCTTCCACCAAGAGAAATGGTCCAGAGCTAGAATAACAAAACATAAAAATTTGTTTATATAACACATTTTTTTATTTTAATCTTCACCAGAGGATGTGTATTCATTGATTTATTATTTATTTATTTATTTATTTATTTATTTATTTATTTATTTATTTTTAAAGAGTGAGGAAGCGAGAAAGAGAGAGAAACAGTGATATGAGAGAGAAACACTGATCGGCTATCTCCCATACTCACCCTTGACTGTGGATGGAACCTGCATTTGTGCCCTGACTGGGAATTGAACTTGCAACCTTTTGATGTATGGGATGATGCTCCCATCAACTGAGATACCTGGCCAGGGCTAACAGGACTTTTTTAACTTTAAGAAAAGGAAATATATCTCAGTCTTATCTGTAAAAATAACAAAATATATGCAAGGAAGAGACCAATGACTAATAAATAGTAGGTACAGAAAAGATAGTCAAATAAATGGACTTAGATGGCTTTCTCCTTAAGTACTTACTAAGTTTATGACTCAATTACATGAAGTTTCTAGGATTTGAATGGTTTTTAACATTACTTATAATTTTTTATCTTTAAATTTATTTTGCTCTTAACTTTTTCTCAGAAAGATCTAAACCAAAGTTCAAAATTATTATATATCCAAACTTCTCTTTACCAGATCAGACTGATATCAACTTTGACAAGTCATTTGGCTGATATAAACCAAGTTTTAACACTTGATTCTAGGTCTAAACCAGGCTTCTTTTCTTTCTCTCCTTTTCTACAAGTAGTCTAAGACTATCTTACTGTTTTTCTCATTAATATACATTATTTTAATATATGGCATTATCATGTTCTTTCTTGTATAATATCACACACTGATGTCACTATCTTATAACTGTGTTTTGTTTCATTTATGAATGTTTTGTTTCTTCAATTAGTTTGGTACACTTTCAGACAGAATTATGAGCTAAATGGGACACAGGTCTGACCTAACATGGAATCATCCTGTATTCTATGGCATATATCCAATGACAAGAAGCTTCTCTACTTCTTTTTATAGTATCCACAACAGCTTATAACATGGGAAGATAAGACAGTGAAAGAGAAATGTAAGGAATGAGGGTACTTAGTAATTACAGTGCTTACCTAATAGTGAAAGAGTATAAATGAGTATTAGCTAAGCATACAACAGGAGGGAAGGGGTAAGATGCCAAATCTTTTGGTACATCAATCAAAGATAACTTGAAATTATACTTTACAGTAAAAATAAGTTTATAAAATGAACTTAAAAAAGAGAAGGTAAAGAAACTCTATAGGTAAATCATAAGTTTAGTCTCTTGACACACAATAGGTAGGCCCTCTATAAAGTGCAATTATGTCCTGTATTACATGCCTCCATCTGTTTATCTGCTCCAGGTATTTGAATCTGTGTAACTGGAGGAACATTTTCCACCCCTAAAAACACCCTTAGGCATCTTTTTATACTTAATTATATAGGACTCTCTCTAAGGGACCGATGAAAGAAGTCTTTGTATTTCTGTGACATTAGACTATGGGATTCCTAATAGTTCTATTGTACTTACCCAACTGACTAAAGAAATAGTCCTCTCAGGGGACAGTGTTTTGAAAGTTCCAAAATACAATTTTATTTCTTAATATTTAGTTTATGACAATAATATAAATAAAAACACTTAAGACTTCCGGTCAAGATGGCAGTGTAGGTACACGGGGTATCGCATCCTCCCACAACCACATCAAAGTTACAACTAAACTACAGAACAACTATCATTCAACACCACCTGAAATCAAGCTGAATGGAAGTCCTACAACTATAGAATTAAAGCAGCAGCCACATCGAGACTGGTAGGAGGGGAGGAGTTGCCACGGGCTGGTCCCATACCCATGTGTGGCGAATACAAATCAGGAGGATACCTCGGCTGGGAAGGTCCTCCTTGAGGACTGGGGGATGGGGGGGGTCCCTGACCCACACCAGGTATCCAGCTCAGGGTTCCAGTGCCAGGAAGGAAAGACCCCATAACTTCTGACTGGAAAAACCAGCGGGAACTGAGGCTGAGGGAGCCTGAGGTGGCTGGAGCCCCAGGCAGCTCCTCTTAAAGGGCCCATGCATGGACTTACTCAGACTCACACCCTCCAGGCTCCAGCATGGGGGAGGCAGCCTGAAAGACACCAGAGACATATGGGGAAGAACTGAGCTGTTTGGCATTGGAGCAAGGGCTGGAGAGGCAGCTTTCTCCTGGACAGACATGCTGTCAGAGGTCTTTGTTCCTTTGGTGAGCCCTTCCCTGGGCCGGCAGACAGCCACCATATCTGGGACTCCAGCAACCTGGTTCACACTGTTTGCTCCACCCTGGTGATTCCCTGAGGCCCCGCCCCACCCACCTTTCAGGCCCACTCAAGCTGTTGCCAGTTGCTTTAGCATAGGATTGGCCTGTCTTGGATCCTGCTTCAGGTTTTCCTAAGTTCTTTCAAACAAGCAGCATCTGGCCCTGGCTGGTTTGGCTCAGCAGTTAGAGCATTAACCTGCGGTCCAGAGAGACCCGGGTTCGGTTTCCGCTGGGGGCGCGTACCTCGGTTGCAGTTTGTCCCTGGCCCTGGTTGGTCATGCAGGTGGTGGCCACTTGATTGTGTCCCTTTCACGTTGATGTTTCTCTCTCTCCCTCCCACTCTATCTGAGCAAGGAATGGAAAAATGTCCTTGGGTGCGGATTAAAAAACAAACAAACAAACAAGCAGCATCTGGTCTCAGCTAGCCCATACCTCTCCTTAAGTAATACATAGAAACAAACACAGGGAGGCAGCCAAAATGAGGAAACAAAGAAACAGGTCCCAAATGAAAGAACAGAAAAAAAACTCTGGAAAAGAACTAAGTGAAATGGAGATAAGCAACCTAACAGATGCTGAGTTCAAAATACTGCTTATAAGGATGCTCAATGAACTTAGTGAAAACTCAGTGAACTTATTGAGGGCCTCAAGAGCATAAAAAAGGACCAGTCAGAAATGAAGGAGGCACTAACTGAAATAAAGAATAATTTACACAGATTCAATAGTAGAGTATGTAAAGCCAAGAAGCAAACGATCAATTTGGAATATAAGGAAGCAAAAAACACCCAATCAGAACAGCAAAAAGAAAAAAGAATCCAAAAAAATGAGGATAGTATAAGGAGCCTCTGGGACAACTTCAAGCATGCTAACATTCGCATCTTGGGGGTGCCAGAAAGAGAAAAGAGACAACAAGAAACTGAAAACCTATTTGAAACAATAATGACAGAAAACTTCCCTGACTTGGTGAAGGAAACAGACATACAAGTTTAAGAAGCACAGAGAGTCCCAAACAAGATGAACCCCAAGAGGCCCAAACCAAGACACATTATCATCAAAATGCAAAAGGATCAAGACAAAGAGAATCTTAAAAGTACCAAGAGAAAAGCAATTAGTTACCTACAAGGGAGTTCCCATAAGACTGTCAGCTGATTTCTCAAAACAATCTTTGCAGGCCAGAAGGGAGTGGCAAGAAATATTCAGAGTGATGAAAAGCAAGAACCTAGATTACTCTATCCTGCAAAGCTGTCATTTAGAATCGATAGCCATATAGAGTTCCCTAGACATTGAAAAGCTAAAGGAGTTCATCACCACCAAACCATTATTATATGAAATGTTGAAGGGTCTTCTTGAAGAAAAAGATAAAATATATGAACAAAGAAAATGGCAATGAATACATATCTGCCGAAAATTGAATCTACAAACAAAATGAACAAGCAGAACAGAAACATTCTCATAGATATAGAGAAATTTTGTTGGTTGCCAGATGGGAGGAGGTTTGGGGGAGTGGGTGAAAAAGGTGAAGGAATTAAGAAGTACAAATTAGTTGTTAGACTGACAAACCTCAAAGGGAAGGGGATTTGGGGGTGGGAAGAAATAAACCAAAGAACTTATATGCATAACCAATGGACACAGACAATAGTGTGGGAAAAGGCGGGAGGGGGGGTGGGAGTGGGGATGAGCGGGTCAATGGGGGAAAGATGAGGAACATCTGTAATACATTCAACAATAAAGATAAGTTAAAAAATAACTAAAAACACTTAGAATAAATATTTAATGTTCTGAATTACATGGTTAGAATTTAGAAACACAAACTGGAATAAATATGCAGATTTAAATTAAGAGTTGTGAGTAATTAAATCTTTCTTAAATTAAGATGAGTCCAGCATCTCATAACATTCCATATCAGATGATCTGTGCTCTTAGAACATTAATAAACAGTAGAAATTAAAAAATGCATTACCATTTATAGAGTTGTAGAATACTGCTCTTGTGCTTTTCACACTGCTGGCACTGCCCACAGAGCCTCCAACATCCCATAATTCTATATAGTAGGCCTTCTCTTCTGGGGTTCCTTCTTTGTAGTCATGAATCTAAAAAATCAACCCATCCAAATAATTATTATAGCCACTTAAAAAACTGATAAGCACCCTCATTCCAGTTGAAAGCACTGGATATTGCATATCAGCATCTCAGCCTCTGACTCTGATCATCATGTCCTATCTTTCAAGCTTCGTCCAATACTCCAACTCTAATAATCTTTGACCTCACAAGACTCTATATGTAGTTTATTGATCCTAACGCCTTCCACACCTTCCCCTTCCACTTCCGAAGCCTCCCTTCCTAATTAAACATAAGTTCCTTGGTTTGTCATTTTAGTCACTCATTTGCTCCTCTCTCACACTGTATTCACCTGACAAAATTCCAACCTTAATTATATCCCCCTTTTCCCTGATTTCCATGTCTACAACCCAGCTACCTGAATGTGAAGGTCAGAAAAATACACATTCAAGTTGACTGGATTCATTTTAAATTCAATTGTACCTGTGGAGCTGTCCTTCAGTCAGTTGCATAGTTCACTTCCTCTTTATCTCTCCCAGATAACTATTTAATACTTTCCCCTCTTTTTCAAATTTCTAATATCTCTTCCTTGTCCTCAAACTCAACTAATAACCTTGCTTTTTGGGACAAAAACAATCAGAGGAGAATGTCTACCTGTTCTTCCCATATGTACCCACCTCCCTGCATTTATGCCTGTAAAATCTACTTTCCCTCCAGTTATTAGAGATAGGCTCTGTGTCCCTATGCCAAATACCCGCCTCTTGTGCATGAGATCCCATCTCCTCTTTCTTTTCAAAGATGTAGCTCCTCTCTCTTTCCATCATCAAATTTTCCCTCTCAATTGGGATAATTCCCACCAGCATACCAACATGCCATAATTTTTCCAATGTTAGAAAGAAAATTAATTTCTCTTAACCTTATGTACTTCCCTCAAGCTACCATGCTGTTTCTCTGTTCCTTTAATTAAATTAATTAATTAATGATTCTATTATGCTGTATATTCACCATCCAAAGTCAAGTCTCTATCACCATTTAGCCCCCCTTTACCGTCTTCTACCTCTCCCACTCCTTTTCCCTCTTGCAATCATCATACTGTTGTCTGTGCCTATGAATGTTTTTTTTTTTTTTCTTAATCCTTCATCTTTTTGTTTTTTAATTTTTTTCCCTTTATTGATTTTAGAGAGAGAGGAAGTGGGAGGGAGAGAGAGATAGAAACATCGATGAGAGAGAACATCGATTGGCCGTCTCCTGCATGCCCCCCACTGGGGATCAGGCCCACAACCTGGGCATGTGTCCTGACCGAGAATCAAACTGGTGACCTCTTGGTGCATGGGTCAACCACTGAGCCACACCAGCCAAACAAATCCCCTCCCCTCTGACAACTGTTAGTCTGTTTTCTGTATCTAAGAGTTTGTTTCTATTTTGTTTGTTTATTTTGTTCATTAAATTCCACATATGAGCGAAATCGTATGGCATCTGTCTTTCTCTGACTGGCTTATTTCCCTTAGCATAATACTCTCCTGGTCTATCCATGCTGTCATAAAAGGTAATATTTCCTTTTCCTTTTATGGCTGAGTAGTATTCCATTGTGTAAATGTACTACAGCATTTTTATCCACTCATCTACTGATGGGCACTTGGGCTGCTTCCAAATCTTGGCTATTGTAAATAACACTGCAATGAACAAAGGAGTGCATATATTCTTTCTAATTAGTGTTTTGGGTCTCTTTGTTTCTTTTTGTAGTGAAAGCCCTCCAAAGGACTTCTGAGTCTGTCCTCAACTGTGTCTAATTCTTTTTCTTACATTCTTTTTTGGACTCATGCCTGTCACACTTTTGTCCCAATCATCCCACTGAATTATTCCTTATCAGGGTCACCAATGGCTTCCACACTGCTAAATCCAGGATCGAGAAACAGTTTTCCTCTTATTCTACCATTTGACATAACTAATCACTCCTCTGCCTTGCAATACTTTCTTTACTTAGCTTCCAGGATATCACACTCTCCTGGTTTTCTTCCCACCCCACTGGCTATTCCTTTTCAGTCTCCAATTGGAATGTCCTTAACCTTCTATCCTTTGATTGTTGGAGTGTCCTAAGATTTAGTTCTCGGATCTCTTTTCTTCTCTGTTAGCACTTGCTGTCTTGGCAATTTCACCTACTCTTATAATTTAAATGTCATTATGTTGATTAATTCCAAATTTTTATCCACCCTGGACCAGTTCCTTGAACTTCAGACTACCATAGCCACCAGACTACAATTTGGATGTCTAACAGATGCCTCAAATTTAATGTATAAAAACAATTTCCCGATCTTCCTCCCAAACCTATTCTTCTCCCAGTTTTATTTCAGTAAAAGGTAATTTAGGCAATTTCATCTTTTCAGTTACTTGAAGGGCCCAAAACTTGTGATCCTTAAGTTCTTTCATACTGCATATCTGATTTGTCAGCAAATCCTATTGCCTTTGCCTTAAAAATATATCCAAAATCTGTTCATTTATCACCACCTCCACTATTACCACCCAGCTCAGAGCCTCTATCCATCCCCTTTGCCTGAATGAATGTAATCACCCCCTAACTGACCTTCCTACTACAGTCCTGCTGGGCTCACAGGTCCCCTGCCACCCTCCCTCCACCATTTGCTTTCCATATTGTAGCTAGAGTGATCCTTTTAAAATGCAAGTTAGATCATATCTCCTTTCCCCTCAAAACCCTCCAATGACTTTCTTACCTAGAGTAAAATCCCTTTCTCATGATATAGATTCTATAGGCTCATACTATATAACTGTTTAGAAACAAATTCTGATATATGACAACCTTATATATTAGAATAAAATTGAGAGTCAGATTTTAGTATGGTGGTTCAGGGGTTTGTATCAGACTCATCCAAGATTTTTTTAAAAAGAAATATACATCCCAACTAAAGCAAAAATGAACATGTGGGACTACAGCAAATGAAAGAGCTTCTACACAATAAAGGAAACCATCAACAAAATAAAAATGCAACCTGTGGAATGGGAGAAAAGATTTAAAAATCATTTATCTGATTAGAGTTTAATATCCAAACATGGAAAGAACTCACACAGCTCATTAGCAAAACAAAACAAAAAATCCACAAAACAATCCAATTAAAATATGGGCAGAGGAACTGAATAGACCTTCTCCCAAAAAAAGACATACGGATAGCCAACAGGTACATGAAAAGGTGCTCAATATCACTAATCATCAGGGAAATAAAAATAAAAATGACATTGAGATGTCACCTCACACCTGTTAGAATGGCTGTAATCAAGAAGACTAGAGAGCCCTGGCTGGTGTAGCTTAGTGGATAGAGAATTGGCCTGAGCACTGAAGGGTCATGGGTTCGATTCCTGATCGAGGGCATGTACATGGGTTGCAGGTTTGACCCCTGGCCCTAGCTGGGGCATGTATGGGAGGCAACTAATCCACGTGTGTCTCTCACCTTGATGTTTCCCTCTCTCTCTCTCTCTCTTCTCCCTCTCTCCCACCATCCCTCCCTTTCCCTTCCATGCTCTCCAAAAATCAATGGAAAAAAAAAAAGAAAAGAGAAAATTTGTTGGCAAGGATGTGAAGAAAAAAGGGAACCATTGTGCGCTGTTGGAAGAACATAAATTAGTGCAGGCACTATTTAAAACAGTTTGGAGCCCGGCTGGTGTGGCTCAGTGGTTGAGCATCGATCCCTGCACCGAGATCACTGGTTTGATTCCCAGTCAGGGCACATGCGCATGCAGGAGGAGGCCAATCGATGTTCTTTCTTATCGGTGTTTCTGTCTCTCTCTCCCTTCCTCTCTCTCTAAAATCAATAAAGGGAAAAAAAAATTTAAATTAAAAAAAAAAAGAAACCAGTTTGGAGAGTCCTCAAAAAACTACAAACAACTATCATATGATTCAGCAATTCCACTTCTGGGTATATATCCAAAGGAAATGAAAACAGGATCTCGAAGAGGTATCTGCACTCCCATGTTCAGTGCAGCATTATGCACAACAGCCAAGATTTGGAGACAACCTAAGTCTCTGTCAATGGATGAATGGATAAAGATGTGGTTTATATACAATGATTTATATATACAATGGAATACTGTATACAATGGAATATTATTCAGCCATGAGAAAGAAGGAAATTGTGCTTTTTTTATGATAACATGGATGAACCTTGAGGGAATTATGCTAAGTGAAATAACCAAGACAGAGAAAGACAAATACTGCATGGTATCACTTATATATGGAATCTAAATAAAAGGTCAAATTCATAGAAACAGAGTTTAGTGGTTCCCAGGGGCTGGAGAGAGGGGAATAGGGAGAGGTTGATAAAAGGGTATAAACTTTCAGCTGTAAGATGAATAAGGTTTGAGGTATAACATGGTAACTATAGTTGATAAAACTGTACTATATCATTGAAATATGCTAAGAGTATAAGTTAAATGTGCCCCCCCAAAGATAAATATGTGAGGTGATGGATGTGTTAATTAACTAGATGGGAGAAATTCTTTCACAATGTATATATCATATAAAATCATCGCAAGTACACTTTTAAAAAGAGAAAAAAAAAGACCTTAAAAAGAAATGTACCTGGCAGACTTACTGGATAACAATATTTGGGGTTCAGTCCTAGGCATCCATACTTTGAACAATTCTAAATGATTTTGCTGTAATTCCTAAATAAGAATTGCTGATTTTATAGAATACAACTATTCTGGTATCAGGAGGCCTAGATTATATTCTTTGATTGCCACTGATTATCCCTAATATCTTTGGGCCTTGGTTTCTTTGTCTATAGAATGAAGGAGTTGTGCCCTGGCTGGTCTGGCTCAGCGGTTAGAGCAGTGGCCTGCAGACCAAGGAGTCCCAGGTTAGAGTCTGGCCAAGGACATGCACTTCGGTTGCAGTTCGTCCCCGGCCCTGGATGGGGTTGTGCAGGTGGCAACCAATCAATGTGTCACTCTTACAATGTTTCTCTCTCTCTCTCTCTCTCTTTCCCACTCTGTCTGAAGATAAAATATAAAAATATCCTCG